CTTGACCCACAACAATGGTGGAAACAGTGTAGAGAATACCCTAAAAATTCCATGGTCATCATCTTCTCCATTTATTCATCAGATCCAAAGCTCATAGACCCGTGGGACTAAAGGAGGGGTGGATTCTGCGAATGTACTCTCAGTTTTTTAAATTTTTTTATTTTATTTTTTATTTTTACATAGTCGTATTATTATTATTATTTTTGAATAGAGGATATTCACTCTCTTCAACTACATTGCTGGATGGATGTTGTTGTGGTCCTTGCTTTATTGTTCCAATCACTTGATCTAATTTCATGGTGTGTTCATCTGAGCAAACCAAATGGATAGTTTTATTTGATTTTTTTAAAAAAAAATTATCAGTTGTTCATAGCATTTTAGTGCACAAAACTCATTAATATTCTTTAATATGATGCTTGGGTTCTATTGGGAATTAAATTGTTCAATCTATTTTTAGTTTACAATTGTTTTTTTAAAAAATTTAATATTATCATCTATAACTTAAGGAAACAGAGTCTTCGTTTGAGAAGAGAGAGGAACGGGGGGATATCAGTCGGTGAGGGTGAGAGAGAGAGAGACAGTTGAGAAGATTAATGTTTTACAGTCTTTGGGGGAGAGAGACTGAGGTAATAGAGAAGAGGAGAGAGAGTGGGTGAGAAAATTGAGAGATTGCAATTTGGGGGAAGTGCAATTTATCTTGGAAAGATTTTTTTTTATTAAAAATATAAAAAATGCTACATATTCTTAAAAAAATACAACTTTATAACTCACACTCACCTGTGATTGGTCTATATGATTGGTTTGCATCAATTTGGGAGTCATGGAGGTTTCTAATTTTGGGGGTTCCTTAAATTTATTTGGGTTACTAATAAATTGGTGTTTCATTTGAGTTTCATGTCTTCATTTAGGAATTTTTCTCATTCCTGTGAATTCATTACCTACTCTTTAAAAAGAAAAGAAAAAAAAACAAAAACAATAAATTTGAATACATTCCTCTCTAATTTTTATTTATATTTTAATCTCATCATTAATTGTATCGTGCCTTCAGGCACGGGCATACGTTAGTATATATATATTTTGTGAAAAAATTATAACTTTTCAAGTTTGTCCAGTTGAGTAAAACTCAAAAGTGTAAAACTTTTAAATTTTTCTAAAAATGAAAAAATCAAAGTCATGTGATGTGTTGCCAAGGCCACGTTTGCCAACTTGGCTTTTGCCCCAAAAAAAAATGTTAATTTTTTTTAAAAAAAATTATTAAAAAAAGTTAAACATCTCATCAATTCATGATTTTTTATACAATTAAAAAAATCATTCATCAACATATTAATTTTTTTTTCACTCACCAAAAAATTAAAAAATCATTTAAAAAAACTCAATTCCCAAATGATTTTTTTTTTGTCTTTCATAATATTTTTTTATAATTATGTCAATGCTTTTAGTTTTCAGATCTATTTTGTGTAGATAAATCTATTTTTTTTATAAAAAGAACTGAAAAAATAAAAAAAATAAAAATGTGTCAAGAAAAAGCTAAAAAGTCAATTTTTTTGACCTTTTTTTCTTTTCTTTCTTGAACTATTTTCTAATTTTTAAAAGGTTTTAACTTTTCTAATTTGTCTCGTCGAGCAAAACTCAGTATTTTTTTCTTAATTTTACAAAAAGATTCACTAAAGGCGAAAAAAATAACAAAAAAACCAAACAACCCCCCCCCCCAATTTGCCAACTTAGCTTTTTCCACCAAAAAACAAAAAAAAAAGTCAAAAAATCATTTAAACAGTCAAATATTTCAGTAATTCATGATTTTCGATACAATTAGAAAAAGTCATTCCTAATACATTCATTTTTTTTTTCATCTCACCAAAAAATCACTAAAAACTCAATTTCCAAACTAATCCTACGTGGCACTTGCCACTACAAGAATTAACACTTTTAGCAACAAAAAAATTGGTCGCTAAAAGTCAATTTTTGGTCGGCAAAAGTTATCCGCGACCAATTTTTTGGTCGCTACTTTGGTCGCCAATTGAGGGTCGGCAAAAGTAATTCGCGACCAAAATTGTGGTTGGTCGGCAAAAGTTGAATTTCGTGACTAAATTTTTGGTCGCTAAATATTTAATTACCGCGACTAATTTATTTCGTCGCCAAAACACTTTGGTCGCAAAAAGTGATATTTTCCCGACCAAAAAGTTTGGTCGCCAGTTATCACATTCAACGACCAAAAAGTTTGGTCGCCAATGGTGACATTCCGCGACCAAAAAATTTTGGTTGCCAATGGTGACATTCCGCGACCAAAAAATTTTGGTCGCCAATCGTGACATTCCGCGACCAAAAAAGGTTTTGGTCGCCATTTGTTAATTTTCGCGACCAAAACTTTTGGTCGACAAAAGTGAGTTTCCATGACCAAGAGTTGTTTTGGTCGGCAATAGATGTATTTTTTGCGACCAAAACTCTTGGTCGGCAATTGTTGTTTTTTGCAAAAAAAAATAATTTATTTGGCGCGACTACTGAATTGGTCGCCAAAGCAAGAAAACAATACACCTGTAATTCCTAATAATTCATTCAATCCATAATAAACCTATAATTTTAAAACATCATTCAAATTAACTGAATCATTAACATTCGACACAATACATAATTCATTAACATTCGACACAATACATAATTCATTAACATTCGACACAATACATAATTCATTAACATTCGACACAATACATAATTCATTAACATTCGACACAATACATAATTCATTAACATTCGACACAATACATAATTCATTAACATTCGACACAATACATAATTCATTAACATTCGACACAATACATAATTCATTAACATTCGACACAATACATAATTCATTAACATTCGACACAATACATAATTCATTAACATTCGACACAATACATAATTCATTAACATTCGACACAATACATAATTCATTAACATTCGACACAATACATAATTCATTAACATTCGACACAATACATAATTCATTAACATTCGACACAATACATAATTCATTAACATTCGACACAATACATAATTCATTAACATTCGACACAATACATAATTCATTAACATTCGACACAATACATAATTCATTAACATTCGACACAATACATAATTCATTAACATTCGACACAATACATAATTCATTAACATTCGACACAATACATAATTCATTAACATTCGACACAATACATAATTCATTAACATTCGACACAATACATAATTCATTAACATTCGACACAATACATAATTCATTAACATTCGACACAATACATAATTCATTAACATTCGACACAATACATAATTCATTAACATTCGACACAATACATAATTCATTAACATTCGACACAATACATAATTCATTAACATTCGACACAATACATAATTCATTAACATTCGACACAATACATAATTCATTAACATTCGACACAATACATAATTCATTAACATTCGACACAATACATAATTCATTAACATTCGACACAATACATAATTCATTAACATTCGACACAATACATAATTCATTAACATTCGACACAATACATAATTCATTAACATTCGACACAATACAACTATTCTAAGTTTTCATTCACAAGTCACATCCATCTTTGGCATGAGTCATGGGTTTCCTAAATTTTTTCAAAATAAAATATTTAGGTGGCGACTCTGTATCTGGCATCGAAGCTTTTTGGGCAGGCACCTGTAACAATCTATGAACTCTTGGGGAAGACAGAGAAGTTCAATTGTCTGCCAGGGTTCCAGGTGAAAAGATTAGGATTTACCTTGTAAGCGAAGCACCTCCCATCATAGTTCACTTTTGGGTTATTCCTCAAACTGTCAAAGACAGCCTTGTTGGAATTAATGTCAACATAACATGCTTCATTTATTTGCTCTGGTGTAAAGGCTTGCCTTGTCTGCAGAACAAGAAACATAAATAATTAAGGTGTAATTAATCCCTTTCAAGTGAGCCTACAAAAAAAAGAAAGTAAAGCATAGTACTCGAATTGAAAACAATAACTACATGAATACATTGCAATTGAAACAAAAGCTTGTTGACTGGTGAAGGGCAAAAAAGAAGCTAGCACAACACATGTTGAATGGAAGAGAAAAGACTTCCTAGGAGAATCTTCGTTTTAATATACATTCACAATGGATAGTGGAAAAGTATTCAAATGGGCCATACATCTATATATACCAATTTGATAGTGTAAAGAAGTTCCATTTCTTTTATGAGATGCCATAGATATTGAGCCAACTTTGAATAGCATGTAAAATGTGTGACAGGATGACAACATGCACACTATCTAATACCTTTGATTCTCAATGGCATACATGCAAAATATGTGTGGTAGCAATGTAGGAGAGATGTGTTATCTAGTGTACATTTTGTTTTTTAAGTAATAAAAGCTTTCAAATAAATATAAATAAATGAAAGGTGCAGTCTAATTAAACCCCAAAAACTGCTTGAAGCATATGTGATTCATTTAAAAGGTGCTCTCTCTCAACAAAAACAGAAAGAAAAAAAAAATAAAAAAAAAATAAAATTCAAAGAAGACAATGTGCAGTGTAGTTAACCTTGGATCCCAGATTTGAATGCCCTCAGGTAAGGGGTCCAATATTTAATATAATAGCTAGTGATAGTACTTCTCCTACAACATCAGGCCTACCTTGAGCGTCCTTCCCATCCAATCGAATAGTCTAAATGACCTTCCAAATGTTTTCTCTTTTTTTTTGAAGTCTTTAGTCAAGTTGCACACGCACATCACATAAATGAAAAGTTGTGGCCATTGTGATTTCACAGGCATCATCAAACACACGCCCCTCTCTCTCTCTCTCTCTATATATATATATATATCTTTGTGTGAGAGTGGAAATTTTTGGGTAAAGTAGACCAACAAGGTTCCACTTGATGTTTGCAAAGTCAAGTCAATTTAACTGTTTTAATAAATCCTAGGCCATTCAAGAGCAGGCCTAATTTCCCATTGAAGTGCAATACATCCATAAGGATTATTTAAGCCACTAGAATAACGAAACATTTTCGGCTCATTTTTCAATGTTCATTACTAAAATGCAACATATTGCTAAATAGAATTTGAGTATCATCTAAACTTTCACAGACACTTTTAAATTAGATTCATAGACTCGACTCGACTCGACTCAATAAAGCATCAGACTTGACATAAGATTTAAGCAAATAAGAATGAAGAAGGCATACCAAGTTGTTTCAGAATGTCAGTGAACGTACCCTGCAAAACATAGGAAGAAAAGAAGAAAACGCTGGTTATCCCTGGTGCAATCTGGAATGAAAAAAAAAAAAAAAAAAATCTAACTAACTAATTTTCTAACCATAACAACAAACAGGAACAAGAAATAAACATGAAAATAGTTGCTATTCTTCATAAAGAAAATGCTCGTTTCAATTTGCTCTTTTATGCCTTCATGCTAAAAACAAGAAGTATAGCAAAAAGCTCAGCATGAGTTTAATTACAAGCAAATTCTAGTAGTGCAACTTGTCCCTCAGTAATTGCATAAGAACATTGGTATGGTATTGACAACATTTTTAGATTTCTTTAGAAAAGACTCCATGTCATAATTTTGCTATTATGCCATTTTTTATGGCAAAGAGGCTGCTGTATATGAGCTCACCATTAGGTGCAAGGGGGTATATCTAGAAGATATATGGTAGTTCAGCCATAAAAACAAACAACAAATGTGGAGGTAGCTTATTTGGTTGCTTTTAAGAAATTCTTTCACTACAATTAGAAAAAGATGAAATTCTTGCCGTGTTGAAGTCAACAATTATAAAGAGATTAAAGTATACTAATCCTTCCCTTCATTTTCTCTCTTTTTTATTCTCCACTCTCTTATTCAGCAATGGAATATTGTTAATATTATTTAAGGTTATCCCTTACTTCACTAGGAACACAGCTTCATGTACAGCTTTGCCTTTTGGCAACGTTTTAGGGAAAAAATGCTGCTAAAACTTTTATTTTTAGTTGCAGTCAATAACCGCTACAATAGCCTATCTATAGTAGCCTTTTTCAGGCCGATACAATAAAAAACGCTGCTAAATCTTGATTTTCTTGTAGTGTGTGGAATGCACTTACCTCTTGTAACTCTGAGACCACAAAGAAGACAGAGCCAGTGTTAACCGTGTCATAAAGTCGAATTCAAACCAATTCTCGGCTACATGGTTCAGGCAAGTTCACAGATGGAGGGCCATGATCAACTCCCCTAGGAATAGAAAGTGTATTCTCCCAGTACCCTACATTCAAGATATTGATCAAATACCACAATTTCACCTTCTATTTCTGACAATGGTGGAGAAAGGTAAGCAGCACTAAAGTGGAGAGGGGTAGGAAAACATTATAACTGGGAGTGGGAACTGGGGGTGCAGGGGGAGATATCTAGTAGCTCTGCCCCAGCTTCTGACCCCAACTAGAGATACTTAAAGCAGATCCAGCTCTTCTTGGTACTAGATTGACTTTAATAACTAACCTTTTCCAAAAAGATTGCATCAGAACCATTGCAAAAGCTTTTAGAATTCCTTCACTAAATCTTGAACACATGAATAAACCTTTATTCCTTCACTAAATCCAATTTTATAATGTAACAAGGCTATAGACTTCAACTTTACGGCTCCTCAGTGAAACATATCATTAGGTAGTTTGTCTAATTTCTTTCTATAGACTTCAACTCATTTTATTCCAATCCTTTCTATGAAACAAACACAACCTAAGTGTTGTCTAATTTCTTAGGTTTGAATCGCATGATAAATCATGATGCATTAACTTATACAGACCTTCATAACCAAGATTGTGAGATACTCAAAAGTTTAGGTAGTTTTATAAGTCCTTCTAATTTTTTGCCTAGACCTGTAAAGCCTAACATTTTAATTTTTCGTCTCACTTCGGTTGAAAACACCCAACAAAAAAAAAAAGATTCATGAAGAAAGTCAGTTTAAAGAAATCTATGACAAAACCTAATTTCAGTAATGGATCATGGGGGAGTATTAAAATCGTAGAATATATTATTTCATGGCATTAGAAAAGTAAAGGTCAATAAAAAAAAAATTCTCTTTCTCAAATCAATCAGTCAACCTCTCTCTCTTCTCATTCTCTCTCCTTTTTTATTTCAATCTCACCTTCGATTCTAGGACACCAGGAAAAAATCGTCTTCATTAACATGCTAAAGCTCTTACAAACCCCTACCACACCAAACCAGCAACTCTCGCAAAAAACAAGATTCATAAATTTCGCATTCCGGACAAATAAAACACATCTCCCAACTCCTCCTCTCTCTTTCTTTGTTCTTTCTTTTTAATAAAGCACAAAAACAAATTCCCTTTTCAAAAAAAACAACACACCTACTCACTCTCCACTCCTCCTCCTTACTTAAGAAACCACGACCAGCACCAAACACCAAAAATTCCCCAAAAACCCACACCAACTCCAAACCACCAACTCGGCATAAAAACACAATTGACGTGAGGAAACGGGAGAAAATGACAACACACAAGAAAAGAAATAAACGACACAAAAAAACGAAAGACAAAACACAAATACTTTCAAAAAAAGAAGCAAATATGAAAAAAAACTCAATAACCACTCACACGACCCCAAAAAAACCAAAGAAGAAAAGACAAAAGAAAGAGAAGAAAAAGGTACGACGGGAGAGAAGATGGCCGAAGGGAGGAACGGAAGAGATACTTACTCAAAGCAAAGAACCACTTCCAACCCTCAACCAAGGTTTGTAGATTCAAACTAGGGTTTTGATTTGGCGGATTTTCACTAAAAATCAAGGTTTTGATTGAGCAATTCGAAAATTCTGTAAAAATTAGTGAACCTTAAGGAACTCTAGTTTAACAAAAAATTTGGTAATGTTACTTAATTTTCAACGAGTATCAAAACACTGCGCACCAAAACACTCGTACACCCTAAAAGGGTCGCCGTTCGACCTGTTTGTAAGCTCTGAGCTCTGGTCATGGCTTCAAAGAAGAAACCAAACAAGGCAAAGCGACCCAGACAAGGCTTTGAAACAGCCTCGACCGTTCGATTCGCTTCCATGGAACTCTTCTCTCTCCGAAACGACGACCCTTTCTCTATCTCTTGTGGCTCTAGCGAACTTCGAGGGAGGTTCGATTAGTTTTCAATTTCAATTAAACAAAATTTTTGGGTTTTCATGGCTGTTTTTCGTTATGAGGTTTCTGTTAGTTTTTGTGCACATGCTTCAGAATTCTAAAACAGTTGAGTTCTTTTAGTTTCCTGTCATTTTCTTGGCAACCAAACAGGGGTTTGATGTTGGAAATTTTAAGAGATGTGATATATAACATATTTTTTTTGGTTGTGAATGTAGGTTTTCTATCGCCTTTGAAGAGATTGTATGAATCTGAAGTATGGTTTGGAAATTCCTAAACCTGAGAGAGAAAACAAGAAACAGAAGGACTAAAGAAAATAAAAATGAGAAAAAAAGGAAGCATGTGAAGGGAGGATGGCTTGGTGGTGGTTGAAGCTGTAAGTGAAGAGAAGGATAATAGAAGTGAAGAGAAAGAAAGAAAAAGAAGAAGAAGAAAAGAAGAACAAAAGGATGCAAAAGAATTCTGAGGAAAATGAAGACAACCAACTGCTGGTTAGTGTTTTGAATTCTCTCAATTTTTAATAATTTTTGAGTCAGAATTTGTAATTCTGCTTATTTATTTTTAGTAAATTTTGTGATTAGTAATAAAATTTTGTTTGATTAGATTGAGGTTAAGGTTTCTTAGATTTTGTTCTGACATGTCAATGCTTATGTATTTATCCATTTCTGTGCTAGATAATCATAATTTGGTATATTTTTGTCTCTCTACATATTTAATGGTAATTTATTGATCTTTGGGTTGGGAAATGCATTTAAGGTTGACAAGTTTTGATCTCTTTTTTCATATATAAATGATTTGGTTAATATTTGGTTCTGATTCACTACAAATGTACTTGTTATGAGTCTGCCACTTATAATTTCTGGGTCAATCTTAAAGTTAATTTTATGAAGATAGTGCAGATGCTTCATAAAGTGATTAATTTGTTAGATAGTTTGGTATTTTGGATTCTGTTTGAACGAGTGATTTTTTTTTTTACAAAATTAAATTGTGACAGAAAGTCAGTGATCCCAAGGAGGATATTGAAGAGATTCAGTTTGATGAAGCTGAATATTAACGCTTGGAATGAACTGAGGCTACTTCCCCTGCTTATGAAAGCAATAATATAGTCTTGGGTTAAAGAACCAACACCAATACAGAAAGCTTATATTTAACATGCTTCTGTTCTGTCTATCATCGAAGCTAGAGTTTGTGTTATAGAGACCCTTAGCAACTAGATGTGACAACTAAATTTGATTTGCCCTTATAGAAGATGAGGTACTAATCTTTTCACCTTTGCATCAGTTCTATTCTATGATATATGTTGATGAACTTAACAATGATTCTTAATGGACAATGGTAACATGTAATTAATTGAAACAGGTGACCATGGATCAATTTGGTTATGTGGCCTACATGAAGATGGGCCTTATATTCTGACAAATGGGTGTAGTTTTAATTAATTGCATGGAGAGGGATATCATTATAGTTCCCTGCTCTTATACAAACCTGCTTAATTCCAAAGATTTTTGGGGTGCTTTCTCATAATTTGGTTTTTAAAGATTTTTGTGCTAAATATGTTTTATTCTTTCATGATAGTTTATATTCTTTTCTGCTAAAATCAAAAGCATGTGCCATGAATCATTTGTGTACAAGGCGTACTCATTAGGATTAGATATTTGATGGGATCATTCTCTTAGAAAAGTCATATGGAATTAGAATGGAAAGGATTTTGTTACCTAGATTATAGATAATTAATTTTATATATAGGACTTGGGAGTATATAGATTTTAAGATTATTTGTAAGTTGTGGTACATGTGATTTTATGATTTTATTTTGACTTAATCTTTTGGCATGCTTGAGGTTGGCTTATGATGTTGAAGTTTCAATGAAGAATCTTGAAGATAAACAATGTCTGATGAGGTTCAGAGAGTGAAGCATTGGTTTTATAAACAGAAAATGCTCTACTTTTACACAGAAGTGACCATGTTTACTTTTAACTACTATTTGTTGCTGATCAAAACCAAAAGAAAAAGAAAAAAAAAAGAGAGAGAGAGAGAGAGAGAGAGAGAGATTAAATTTATAACGGTTACCTTCTTTGCATAATCAATGACTTAGTGTGGATGCAAAACCCCATCTCTCTAACCTATTTTTAAAATTTTAAAATGCTTAAATC